TCGTCAGGGTCCTCGCCGTCCTGGCCCAGCGAAATGCAACAAAAAAATCCGAATCCTCAGGGGATCCCACTGATCCCACCCACGTGATCGATGTCAGAAAGATTTTGCAAGAACTGCAGTGGGGAACGCAAAGGAACACTCACATACACTCACTGTACACTAAAGTTTGATTTAAGCACGCGACCACCCCCTACTCTTGCGGGGCTGGCGCGACAACTGGAAAACGTGACAGAACCACAAACAAATACAGTATGAAACAAACGCACATTTCTCGCATTTATGATCATGTATGCACACTTGTTGGGCAACACTCAACATGTGACATATGGTGGTTGACCGCAAAACGTACCATGCCGGAATTCCGAAAAATATCTTGCGCGGATCTTTCGCAGCCTCATCGCGAAGCATGATCCTAAAGCCATGTCTGTTAGCATGTAACGGAACTATGGGTCACTTGCAGCATCTGTACGACAAGCCTTGAGGAATGTCCACGAAGAGGCTTAGTACAGAGTCAAGCACCACTCAACCCGACCCTTGTGTCAGCTACCAACAAAGGGCGCTAAAAGTTTGGAGCCGGAGGATAGTGCGCATCATGCGCAAGCATCCGCACAACCTGTCAGAAGTGCAAACCGTTGCCGCACAGTCAGGGCCAAAGGGTGATGCAGTTGCATTTTGTGATTTGTGAAGGACAATCCTGTACGCTGTGCGCACTGTCAGGGCTGCGCAAGGGCAAGTTGAGTTGTCAGTTTCTTAATGTGTGACAGTGGGGACTGGTGACAGGAATCGGAGAATCCTTTATGCACTGTGAGGGCTGGGCAAGGAAACGTAGAAAATGAAAGCAATCAATAAATCGTTCGCAAAACAAAACATCGACAAATTCCCACCGTTACATGCCAAAGCACATCCGCAATGTTTTGTCTGCAACATTGCAAGCAAGTGGTTCACCAATAGTGTCACACACATATATGTTCCAATCTAGGTTGTCGTCCGGTAAAAGCAAAGGAAGAAGAGGTGGACAAGACACAAAGCAAAACCATATTGTCACATTCTACTGCTGACATATTTTCTGCTGCCAACAAACCAGTATAGTGCCCGCCCTTGCGGTTGAGGTCCGGTTGTGCCCACTGCGATCTGGCACTTGCGGTCTGACTGCATCGTGGAAAGGTGCAAACTCCTGGAGAGTAGTAGTGCAAAATCATAACCCAGGGGCATGCCACCAAGGTCAAAAGGAACTATCCCCGTGATGTCGATGTGTCTTACTACTCATGGAAAGCTGAAGGGACAGAAGCCATGCCAACTATCTGGCAAATTCATTCAAAAGCAATAACCTGGGCAAGTGCAAACTGGACGTGAACAATTGGTTCATTTCCAAGAAAAATCAAATTCGACCATATGGAATCATCCCCGCCCATACGGAACCATCCCCCATCCCGCGTGGCCCAAGTGCCCGGCCGGTAAGAACCGTCGAGGCGAAGTCCTCCAAGCTGGCAATGCTTCGCGTTTCCGGTAGGTCTACCTCGTCATTGTCCTGCCGTGTCATTCACGAATTGGCTGTCAATCTTCTGTGTGACAGGTTGGTCCACGAGTCACCCAACCCTGCAGGGTATCAAACTGAATCAAACCGTCTGCATGTTTTAAGCACAGTTATGTCCTGACTTAGCGCCACCACAAATTGTCCATCCTTTAAAACAATATGGTTCAATTCCGCCTCCTCATCGATGCTCTGAAGCGTCAGCCGCCCTTTGCCTTTGCCCTTTCGGCGACCTAGTCGACGATGTTTTGCGAAACGACTCCAATGAAACTGGTTCGGACAACCGTCTTGGGGAGCGTCTCCAAGTGCATCCGACCTTTGGCCCAACCTCGCCACCCTGCGTGAGCCTCGCTCCAGCCAAATCACAGGGGGATGTTGGGACAAAGAGCGGGATGCCCCGCTATTTGTACATGAGTCTACTTAGTTAGACCGCGCTTTTCAGAACATGAGCCTGATCTCCATCAGGAACTGTGGCGAGGGATCACGCTTGCGGACGAGGGGTCAATTTGATCCGGATGCGTGTCAAGTATCAGGAGGCACCCATCCCGTACTTGAGCAAATTGATGGCAATAATTGCTACCATCTTGGGGGCCTAGCTTTTCGTGGAACAGCATGATTCACCAGGACACCTTGATTGTTGGAAGTGGAGACCATGGGACTGGGAAAACAATGTTTCTTTACAAGGGGGAGTCCATTTCCTTGGTGAAACGAAGTGTAGCTAGAACATGCTATAGAACTTTTGCACGCAGCAAACAGACCCTTTTGCACGCCTTTTCACCATGCAAAGCCCCCCAGGTCGCACAGGTCCTGGCACCCCTCGGGTCGACATGGAAGCCCAAAACCACTGGGGTTGTAGAGGAACATGGTCTTCCATCAGTCCATTTCCAGGTTCCATGGCGCTTGCGGGGATCCCACGGGTCCCACGGTCGCTCGAAACGGGTGTGGCCTTGTCTCGGCAAGGGTGGAGCGTCCTCCAGTCGGTCGGCCAAGAGTCGTTTCGTGTGCGCTTTCGGCAGAAGAACTGAAGGGTCAGGGTGTTTTTGTTTCCCCTTTCTTGTGCCTGTGTTGTTTAAATCTTCTCTGCCCGGAATCATTCCTATTCCCTAGAAGAAAGCAAGAGACCTGTTAGATGCTGTTGGAATCTCCGAGGGCATGCCGCAAACTTTGGAGGAATGAAAGCACCGGGGGAGGCGTCCTCAGTGACGTCTAAGACTCCAATTAGAATCAAACAAAAAAAAACGTGAACCCACACTGAAATGATATTGAAGTTATTAACACGTGTGGTTCAAAGTTCAAACCTACAATGTGGAAACCTCGCTTCACTGAACAGTGCTAGATGGAAATCTGGGTCGGTAACTGACATGACTGACATGTAAACGGCCAAACTGTGCACACCCTCCCATCAAACAATCAAGAATATAGCAAATTATGCAAATTGAATCATTTAATTTTGTATAGCTATATGTATATATACGTATATTTAGATAAATAACCAACCGGGCTACATTCAAATTATGCTCCAAATTGTACCTTTCTCGGTGATTTTTGGGTGCTTCATTGACTTGCAGGGAGGAATGCGTCTAGGAAGCGCAAGAACCATGTACATCATCTTCCTGGTCAGGCCCGAAATCGAGCCCCCTCGGTCCTGTCCAGTTCTCTTCTCCTTGTCCTTCTTCAAGCCCAGCATTTCCAAACGAACGGAACTCATTTCCTTGTCGTTGACCTGTTTCTCCTGTCCATCCCCACAGCTCGCTTCCCCGGCTTGAGGCTAGGAGCCGATGGGAACCAGTTATAGACTGAATCAAACTGAAGCAAACATTACCTGCCCAAAACGTGTACATCCCTCAGAATCAGCGAGGACGTGATTTCAAGAACCGCTTTCTCATTGATTCCACAAGGAGTAAATGATTGATTTTCCTTCCTATGATTCTATCAATTTCAGTTCTCCTTTGATCGGGAGAGCCTAAGCAAGAGTCGGACGGCCAAAATCGTAATTCATTGGTACGATTGGCTGGGGTCATGTTCCTCCTTTGAAGGCAGATCATGTCCATACACTACACGTCTCAAAGTTGGTTGCCTGGTGAAATTCGATCCACACCCCGGTTTGGAAAATTTGGAACTCCAACATTTTATGGATGGCAACGGTCTTGATCCCAAAAATGTCAATCTGACAGACCTGTTTATTGCGAGCCTGAAGCATGGAACGTTACAAAAAAAACAGTGGTCTTGCATCTGATCATCGGGCATTTGATCACCCGTTTCATGAATACAAGATGGAACCCACGAACCCGAATGCAAGCACGTATTCGAAAACAAACGCCCAAACATTTTTTTGGCACTCTTGTAGGGGACACTCTTGTAGAACCCTTTTGTGGGACACTCTCGTGCGACACTTTCGTCACTCTGTGGGACACTCTTGCAGGACACTCTCGTAGGAAACTCTTGTGGGACACTCTTGTGGACTCTTGTGCAACAGTCTTGCGGGACACTCTTGTGGGTCACTCACGTACTCAGATGTAATGTAATTTGGCCACATAAGTTGACAGTTCTGAAGCCACAGCTTCCAGAAACTGCTTCCCGTACTACATTTGCACTACAGTCACTACAAAGCTGCCATTTCCAGAGGTCACTGCTTGCCGCACTACATTTCCACTACCCAGTGGTCAGTTCTGAGGCCACATCTCTCAGAAGCTACATCACCTGCCACAAGCAGCTTCCCGCACTACGTGTGTACTACCAAATGGCCAGTTCTGAGGCCACCTGCTTCCCGCACTACATGTGTACTACAAGTTGCCAGTTCTGGGGCCACAGCTCCCAGAAGCTGCTTTCTCTACTACATTTGTACTGCCAAGTGGCCAGTCCTGAGGCCACACCACAGCTCCCAGCAGCTGCTTCCACATTACATTTGCGCTACAAAGTTGCCACTTCTGAGGGACACTCTTGTGGTGCACTCTTGCGGGACACTCTTGTAAGACACTCTTGTGAGACACTCTTGTAGGACACTCTCGTGCACACTCTTGTAGACACTCTTGTGGGACACTCTTGCGGGCACTCTTGTGGGATACTCTTGTCGGGCA